AGCAAGAGTTTGATCTATCAATTGGATCCTCTTCGTCGTCACTCTGTTAGTACGTCATATGCATCGTTGATCTGATTGGTTTATAGTATAGTCGGGCACCAATTGGGAGAATTCGGAAATGCAACGGTTGGAACAGCCGCTTCCCTACGACTTTAAGGTGCTTTCAGAGGTTGGAATTCTGAATATTTACAGACTTTTCCTTTTAGGAATAAATTTCCTGATTTGGATAAATTATCTTTAGGGACAACATCAAAAAACTGCATTGATAATCTGATGAGAAACTTTGTGATTGCTTTAATGACTATGAAGTAAATGAGCTCTGCACATTCTGCTACACAAAAGGTGTTTTTTAGGCTGAAGCCGTGTGTTTGGTCCCCCGCTGGGGGAACGAGGTAGCCTCAGTCCCACGAGGAAGGAGGCAATACGGCTGTTTGTTGTGAGGACCCCCTTCCCCCACACCAATTACCAGCTTCCTGAAGACGGATAATACTTAACAACTTTACGCAGCGTCTGAAGGGGAAGCCAAGAGTAAACACTCAAAACATTTCTGGATTCACCCCAATTGCATTTTCCTCCAAACAGTTTAAATGGAAATTCTCCTTCCACTGAAGTCAGCTTAGTCTCACCTCCATTACAGCTTTTGTTTTTCCAACTTTAGGAAGTCTTTAAAGCATGAGGCAAAGGCAGAGAGAGCTGCTCAGGTGTGTTTCCTTAACATGCAGTAATTACTGTTTTAGCTCCGTCTGCTTTCAGAGCCTGAGGGCCAAACACAGAGAGATGCATCAGAGAACCACTGCTGTCAATAAAAAGCCAAACACAAGAGAAAAGATGGCAAACAATGAACAGTAAACCTAGAATGAAGCTGCTTGACCTCCTGCTGATTTCCCTACAACAGTCCTCTTTACAAAAAGATAAATACACAACGTCATAAACACAGGAAAACCTCCAACGACCTAACATAAGGAGTCAAATTTCCCTTGGGAATCCCCGCTCCCTGCTCCTGTTGTAATGCAGACAGCTAATTGCAAGTTCACTTAGCTAAAACTGCAATTAATCAAAGCAGAGGGAGGAGAAAAGGGGGGAAGGACTGGAGGAAATGGAGGGCCAAGTAATCTGAACGCCTGCAGGGAAGGGAGAAAAGTAAAGGAAGGTGGAAAGAAGAGATGCTGGGATCTGATTAAACAGGAACTCCTTCAATTACAGCTTTTTAAGGTTGACGTAGTAAACTTCTGCAGTC